ACATCTCAAGAAACGTGGTCCAAGGACCAAAGTTGAAACCTCAGTTTTCCTCACATTGTCTCACTTTGGGCAAGTCACATTCTCTGCTGTCAGTTTAATTCACTCCGAAATTGCAATCATGATATTTAATTGCCTTTAGGATGCTATATTCAGCAATGCTTGCAAAGCACCTTGGGAGCCTCTGATGGAAGGCGCAACAGGTGTGCTTCTGTGCATATATGTGTATATATATATATACATATATATACACACACACACACACACAGAGTCCTCTGGCTTTTTGAATTCCTTGCTCCTTACTCTGCAACCAGAAGCAGAGATCTGCACCAATATTGCTCTGTCACCTACTATGCCTTGACATTTGCGAATAATTCAGGCCCTTGCCAAGGGAGCTCAGGCCAGCATATCTCCTGCTCAGCTCCAAGCTGAAAAGGTCCCTTGTTTTAGGAGAAGAAAACCCAGCATGTTTCTGCACTGGCCTTTTAGGATGCAGACACTAGAGATAAGAGAAAGGGAAGTCATTCCACAGATCTGGCCCCTGTCCAAGCAGAGGGCATTCTCAAGCACTGATAAGATCAAAGTAAAAGCCCAAGAGGTTTATGTTTTGATTTAAAATTTCTTATTTTATTTTTACATGGCAGAAAACATCTCTCTGATCAGGCCTGTTATCACATCAGTCTTGAAATCCTTACTCCCTCTCTGTCTGCCCCAACAAGAGTTCTCAAGATAGCCAGGGGCTTGCCAGTTGTGTCTTCTACCCACCTACTGCTGTTGAGATAAGCACAACTCCACTGACCCCATTCAGAGATTCCATGTCGGACTATGTGAAGGAAGATCAAAAATAGTGCTAGATGACAGAATCGTAACCCTCACCCCAAGAGAGTCTGGGGAATTAAAGACCTGTGATATTATTGAAAGATTCTGGAAAATGGGTCTCTATACATTCACAGAGCTGGCTCATGGTGGGCATTTCCATGTAGCCCCGTAGAGTACTGCATGAAAAATTGCAGCTGACTGCGCCTGGTCCGGGACTGAGGTAGTTATACTCCGTGAGCATGTGCTCATAGAGTCATTCTCCTTCTAGAGCTAAGAAAGTATCTCCACACAACACCCCCCCTGCTCCACACAGACGGGCTCTGGATGTTAAAATACCTGCATATGTGCATGTGCCCCTCTCACTCATACCTAACACCTGGCTTCTTCTTACACACATTACACTGGCTGACACTTTGAGGCACCACTTACCACATCTGCACGCACACATTGCCTACTTCACCATGTAACACCCAGGAGTGCCCACTCCTACTCCACACCCTGCACTGACCCGTGCTACGCTACATGTATCCATTATACACAAATCCATACTTCATATACACGCTGCCACCTCTGATTTATCTCTGCTTGCCTGCCCACTGGGGCTGATCCTCCTTTTTCATTATCCTTTACAAACTGCGGTGGGGGGGGACAGAAGGGAGGAGACATTTTTCCTCACCACAGGCTGTGACCTCTCATAGTTGCTGCTCCTGAAAATGTTTCAAAGATGACTGAGCCACTGCATATTTAGGAGATTTATTAATCTCTCTACCTTAATCTGTCTACATTCTTAAACTCGTCACGTCACTGTCCCAGCATCCTGCTTAAGAACTGCTGACTGAATGGAAAGGCTGTAGCCTAACACTGCCTGAGCTGGCCCACAGGAAGCTGAAGTACTGGGAACAATGACAGGGCGGCATCTTAGGGTTAAAGCAGCGCATGGAAAAACAAAATCCAGCCCAGGTCTCTGCTCCAGAAAGACTCCCAAGGAGCATGAATGTTTTCAAAGGTTGAAACAGTGTTCCAGTGCCAGGGAACAAAGATAGCGCCCCTCCACCTGATATTCCCTTGGGAGGCTCTTCTGACAGGAGAGGGACAAACAGCATAGCTAGGATGATGCATGGGACAGCATCACCTTGTGTCTTGACACAACAGCAAAGCCCAAAGATGTCAGGGCAACAAAAATATCAGTCAGGATGGTAGTTTTAAAAGTCACTATTATCTCACAACCACGTGACACACTGTCCTCATCAAAAGCAGTATGAAAATGCTTCACTGACGTTACTGTGCTAAGCATGTCTCCTGACTGACAAGTCACTGTCACCATCACCCTCACACAGAAGGGGAACGCAAGCCATGAGGGAAGCATAATCCTTTCCCCCTCAAGCTATTCTGCAGCAGAGATGTGGGCAGAAAGCAGGGACCCTTGACTCAAACTCCCCACATAAACCATCAGGCAACACTGTTTCTCTGTCTGCCTGCTCCTCAGATCAGTTCATTCACGCCTCTCCATCCACTTCTCTGCTGTCTGGATTTTGCTGCCCACCTGAGTTCAGAAAGGGACTGCATGCTCTTTACTTATGCCGAGAAAGAAGTCTTGGTACAGTAGGGCTTCTCAGGGCTGCAGCGACACAAGCAACAACCACCAAACCGGTGCACATGGTGATGTTTCATGTTCAGACATGCAGAAAGTTGTCAGGTTCTTCCTATAATAGCTTGTCAGCCTGCTTGCTAATAGAGGTCTGTCTTCATTTCCTCCACTCTAACCACAGTGCCAAAGTCACAGCACTGAATTTGTATCAAAAGACCCTCAGCAGCAGAGAACCAGGAGTCTCACCTCGCCTCCTGCTGTCCCCTTAAAAAGGCCTTATTCTATAGGGTTCAGAACAGCCCTCCCAAGTCAACTAAAGTCCCTGAGTGCTCTCAGTTACTGAGTGCTGAGCAAGAGCCCAGCATCACAGAATTGCTGAGGTTAGAAGGCACCTCTGGAGATTGTCTAGTCGAACACCCTGCTCAGAGCAGATTACCCATGACTGTGTTCAGTTGGGTTTTGAGCATCTCCAAGGACGGAGACTCCACAACCCCTGTGGGAAACCTGTTCAAGTGTTCAACTACCCTCACAGTAAAAAAGTGTTTTCTTACATTCAGAGACAGAATTTCCTATGTTTCAGCTTATGTGCATTGCTTCCTGTCCCATCACTGGGCACCACTGAGAAGAAATTAAGTGATAAGTATGTCTTACTGGCTGGACTGAGGTGAGAGCAAAGTATCGTTCTTCAGAGGTACTGACCTCTCTCGGCCGTTTCCAAAGATGAGGCACCTCAGAAAGGTATTCTGCCAAGGACCTTCTGCCTTCTTTCTAAGCTGGGTACATAAAGCGGGGATTTGCAATCACTTCAAAAGATGGAAGCAAATACACTGCTTTAACTAACAGCTCTGCCATCATGAAAAAGCAACTAGAGACTGTGAAGTATCATGTGCTATTGTCATGGAAACCACACAAGCACCTCAGGTAGAGAGATGCATTGTCTCAGCTTGGTAAGGCTGGCTAGAGAAACATGGATTTTGTGCCATCTGTCAGAAGGGCCTGCTCCCAGTTTCTGCTATTTACTTTAGTGCGAGCTGACGTGGGCTCAGTAGGGAGTAAAGGGATGATTCAGTCTCTCAGATTCTCCAGGGGCACAGAGCAAGCTGGAATAATGAGCTCACGATGTCAGGGGAAACTGCCCCACTGAGGTGTCACTGAAAGCCTGGACTGGGGGGACTGCTATCACCTTGCACTGGAAATAACTGCAGTCCAGAGACATCAAGAAAAAACAAGACCAAAAGCATGCGGGGCAGGGATAAAGGAAGGTGATAAACAAGCAGTGCTAAAACACAGTAACAGGATTAGACTGTCAGGAGGTCTGAAGGACAGGCACAGCTTGGGGACAGCTCACAGGGCACAGGAGGATACAGCTCCATTGACAGCAATTCAGGTAGGAGCACAAGAGAATACATAACAGACCAGGATTAATGTGTACAATCAGATATCAGGTTATGGCGGGGCTACTAGAAGACAGGAGTGACGTGCCCTGGCAGAAGGCATAGAAGTAGAAAAATACTATCCAGCTCTGCACAAGACTCTAGCCAGTTCTATCTGCTCCCACTCCCAAATTCACCCACAAAGTAGTGGCAAGGAGGGGCACCCAACAGCATGGAGAGGCACAGTAGCACTTCTACGCACACCAAGGTATTGATCCCATTTTCTGTTGGGCAAAGTGTACACCCTGAAGGATCTAGTTCTGTCACTCATCCCTTGTTCAAGGCATCATTGCTGGCTATACTTACTGCAGTGAAAGTAAAAGTTCTACCACAAGGGACATCTGTTTTCTTCTCCTTTCGCTGTTTTTGTCCATGTATCACAAACACGTGGAGGAGCACAGGGGACTCGGTGGACTGAGGCATTTGGTTTGGCTGCAGCATACAAGTCACACACAGATCTCCCACAACGCCACAGACTGACACAGAACCAAGGTACCCACAAAGGAGATAAGGGTTGGCTGAAGAGTCAGGGGATGGGGTGCTAGAGACAAAGACTAAGAGGTGCAGGCAGCACGAAGTACAAATAGGAGAGTCTTGAGCAAACCTAGCCCTGCTACATATGTTTGCACTCAAAAGCAGGAGATGTTCAGACACTGCAGTGGCATCCCAGCTGCAAAGCCATCCAAGCAACCTAGCTCTCTCTTCTGGCTCATTCAGTCCCACGTCCCATACAGATCTACAGCTGTCAACGCACCATGCGCCTACAGTCTCTTTCCAGAGCTATATACCAGTACCT